GTCATATTATTTACCACACTGGCTAGGGATGCCCGAGTGCACAGAAAGCCATAGTGGAGAGCATCAGGCAGAGCTAATCCTTGAGGTGCTCGAGATCTACGGCCTTCCTAGAAGGTTAGGTTATCATACGAGTGATAACGCTACATCAAATGATACATGTTTAAAACACCTTTCTCGACTTCTCAAGGGAAATCACAACGTGAGGTTTTGTCTCATCCTTTCACCCTTCAGCTTGGAACTAAACCCACTAAACCCATCATGCATTAGGTCGACTTTGATTCACAGCATCACCGTATTCGCTGCGTGGCACATATTCTCAATCTCTCCCTTCAGGCTTTCCTTTTGGCCTCCTCGAAAGAAGCCTTGGTTGCAGCCCTCGAAGCCGCTGATGATACGACTGGCGATGCAATGTATGAGAAGTTCTACGAAACATTAAATACCGCCGCGCGGGAGGAATCTAAGCAATCGAAAACAAGAAAGTATCTTTGCAAGAAGGGCAAATCAGCTGATCCAAACTATCAGCGGCTGGCCAACTTCTCCGGATGGCGTCAGATCTCTGCTTTGCGCAAAATACACCATCTAGCTGTGTGGCTACGAACTTCATCAATTCACTGTGATCAATGGGATATGAAAGTAGGCCTGCGCCTTGGCATTGACAACGATACTAGGTGGAATTCTTGGTATAAGCTGTTATCTAATGCGCTACGGAAGAAGGCCGAAATACGGCAGTTCTTTCTCGATTTTGAAAGAGAGTTTGGAGACAATATACTGACTATATCTGATTGGGAATTTATCGAGAAAACACACAAATTTCTCCAGCCATTTGCGGCTGCAACTTTGCTAGGAGAAGGTGCAGGATCAAATCTCTCCCATACTTTGATGATCATGGATGCTTTACTCCACCACTACGAAAAGGCGAAGGCAGGTACTTTGTTTAGTTTTCTTCAAATTGACTAAAGAGCTAACCGTATTATCTAGAAAACTTATAGCGCAGAAGATACGTATGATCCGCATCTTCTTCACTGTATTCATATGGGCTGGTTTGTTCTCGACAAGTACTACTCTTTAACCGATAACACTCCTGTATATGCCGCTGCTCTCCTTCTTGATCCTTCAAAACGACTCAGGTACATTCAACATAACTGGGATATGGCCTGGATCAATAACGCTGTTGAAAACACGCGCGTATTCTGGGAAAAGAACTATAAAGAGGCCGGACCTGTAGGTGGCGCTGTTTCACCAGAAGATGCTGATACATGTTCTCGGCGGTCGAGGAATGAGCTGGATGATCTGTTTGATGAGATTACTGTATGGGAAGAAAGTGATCCTGATGTGGATGATTTTGATACGTTTATCAAAAGTCCTCCGATTAGGATTACTTGCTCTCCCCTCCTCTGGTGGCTTAATCAGGAGCGGATTAAAACGTATCCACGCCTTTCTCGGATGGCTATTGATGTACTCTCGATTCCTCCTGAATCAACAGATCCAGAATCAGCATTCTCTGGCGGAAGACGTACTCTCAGCTGGGATAGAGAACGCATGATGTGTAACAACGTGGAAAAGGTTGAGTGTATTGGTAACTGGATACGATCTGGTCTAATTACTCTCTCAATTGAGGGTGGCAATGGCATTATTCTTGACACAGCTATTGATGTAGATGCAGATAAAGACGTAGACGATGAGCTGGATTGAATGACGACTTGATTTGGCGAGAAAATGACGAATTCTGAACCGAAGTAAATTTAGTATTAACTTTACTATGTTACTATCATACTATATGAATATTATCTTTACTATCGTACTATCGTACTACGAAGTATATTTCTTTGGCATAAAGTGGATAGTACACTTTTTTACTGAAGTATACTTACTATTCATATAGGCAAGTCTGAGTGGTGTAATTTTATGATATCCAGCAACGATAAATCTGTTCCGGGAAACTTATCTATGGGATCAGGAAAGGAACAACCGAATATGTAAAATAACATGAGAAGTCTCAACAGCAGCTCGGATTGTAAAGGTCAGTTTCGCAGCCCAGCCCAGGCATGGCTATATGAACATGCGCGTCGATCGTCTTATATTCATATTATCTTCAACCGGTCCAGCAATATATATGCCTATTCATGCATATCCAGAATAACACTTTATTTAAATATATCCATGTATGTATATGAGCGTCTGATCCATGAAGCTGATTGACTGTGTAGCTGTAACGGGCTGAGCCCGATA